TGATCCGAAACTATCTCGAAACACACCTGAGGCCCCCGGGACTCCGTCTAATCACACAAACCAGTCCCACAACATAATACGGACCTGCTCGAGGCCTCAAATCACATCAAACAACGTCGAAATCATGAATCGCACCCCAATCCAAGCTTAATGAACATTAGAACCTCAAACTTCTACATTCGATGCCGAAACCCATCAAATCACGTCCGATTGACCTCAAATTTTGCACACAAGTCACATTCGACATTACGGACCTACTCCAACTTCCAGAATCGGAATCCGACCCCGATATCAAAAAGTCCACTCCCGTTCAAACTTCTCAAAAGCCTTTAAATTTCTAACTTTCGCCAAATGGCCTCAAAATGACCTACGGACCTCCAAATCCACATCCGGACGCGCTCCCAACAACAAAATTACTATACAGATCTATTCCCAAACTCGGAATCCCAAACGGACGTCGATATCATTGAAATGCACTTCAACTCAAATTTATGAAATTCTTTCAAAACGCCAACCTTCCACAATAGGCGCCAAAATGCTCCCGGATCATCCAAAATCTGATCCGGACATACGCCTAAGTCCAAAATCATCATACGAACCTGTTGGAACCTTCAAATCCCGATTCCGAGGTCGTCTACTCAAAAATCACACTTTAGTCGATTTCTCCAACTTAAAGCTTCTGAATTTAGAATTTTCTTTCCAAATCAACTCTGAACTTTCTGAAATTAAATTCCAACCATGCGTACAAGTCCTAATAGCTGAAGTGAAGCTACTCATGGCCCCAAACTGCCGAGTGACACGTTAGGGCTCAAAACGACCGATCTGGTCATTACATTCTCTCTCACTTAAACATATGTTCGTCCTCGAACGTTCTAAGAACTGTTCTGGAGTTGTCTGAAATCACTGTTTAACACCTCGTGCACCTGCCCGTGCTACCACAACCCAGCTGAGCACATTAACTCGAGCAAATCTAAAGATCCTCCCTTTTATTTAGGCAAATAAGCCTTAGGGCCAAATTCCAACGTCTGAAATTCTCTACTAGGCCTGCTTCCAACATACAAACACCGTTTCAATCACCACACGATGTACCAATACATGATTGTATACTCTCACTTAATTCTTACCATGCACCACGTAACTCACTTGCCCAAGGCAATCTTTCCAAAGCACATCAGCTAACTTTCCACTGACCGAAGCTCATAGTGTACCTCATGACCAATTAAGCCTTGCTTAAACTCTCGCAATACTGCCACGACAGAGAAAATGTGTAGAACTCATAGCCACCTGCCTAATTACAATTTATGGAGTCTCTCCTCCCGACAAGAACCATTACCTCATTCTGGACTGAATAATAATATTTACTCTTTAGTATGCTTCATATAAATTTGATCGCGCTGATCCCAGGTCCAATAATCGCGTCTCACCCCAGTACAAGTTGCTCAGGCAATAAGCCACCTCAGACACTGCAAAAGCCTCATATGATGCCACAATGTGCTAACAAGCTACGGACTCGAATGTGATACATAAGGAAACGAACTCTGGAAAGAACTACTCAACCCACATAACTAATTAAACAACCGAAAGGATGTTATGAACCTTCCTCAGGAAATGAGAAGCAAAACACGCAATAATAGATATGGGAAACTATACTCAATAACACACTATTGCGGCGTGCAACCCGATCCACGCATGATACCGTTGCGGAGTGCAATCCGATCCACGCATGATACCGTTGCGGAGTGCAACCCGATCCAACCATGATACCCATGGCGGCGTACCACCCGATCCAATCAACATATCCATGGCAGCGTACCACCCGATCCATACATAATAATCTAAGGAAAACACGCATCGATTCGTAACGCTTATACTCACGAAATGCCCAAATATCAACCATAAGCACGCCAAACGCATAATACAAATCCTGGGGAGACGGGTAGTGTCATACACTATCAAACTCAAGCACGACTAAGGTACGATATATGATCTGCATCTTGAGAGCCATCCTGCTCACATAATACCACAAACTATACGGGATCTCAATACGAGTGTGAATAATCAAACCATCTCACAACCCACCTGGTATAATATAGATTACACGGAATAGTTGACTACATAAATAACATCCAAGGCCCGAAGACCCTTCCGAAAACAATGATATGCTGAGATGAGCACATCCAGCCTGATATAGAGCCCACATTAACATTTAGATACATCCACGGACCTCAAACCGATTCTGATCATACCATGCTTAGCTAAATAGCCTCTCAAGGACCCACACTGACCTATTCATGACACATAAGAATAGTCGTCAAATCTGAAACAAACTTCCTCAGTCCACAATTAAACGAACTGAGCGCCCTTCAGGCATAAATTCTCACATTAGTGTTAGTACCACAATCTTAATACTTGGTTTTAAATCTTTAATCAATCCAGTGACTACATGTCACACTTATACAATCTTCCCGTGGGATACACCCCCACGACCTTTTGCACCAGGTAACAAATCTGCACTTCCATACTGCCGGCCACTCTAATGCTGTAAATCAAATCAAGAATCCACAACTCAATACATAGAGCCTCTTACATAGGACACCGATCTCAGGTGACTCAAAAAACAATACCAGCTTACTCTAAACATCTGAATTCTTCCCTGCTCATCCGAGCCCTTGACGTTCTTGTCGACCTCAACTGCAACCTTGATCCTCAACCTTCAATTCCCATGTCGCTCACTGCACCTAACATACCAGTACGCAAGAGTACAAAAATTTTATCATAACTCCCGAACCACCAATAGGTACACATTTCATCATATAGAAACCTTCTACTTAGCTCATTCTAGAAGAACCAATGCAACACGCAACTAAATTCTCAAACCGCAGTAAAATACAAACCTCGAGTAGTGGTCTAAACCATCATAATTCTTCCAAGTTTTACCTACACATAACAGGCCATAATACTCGAATGCCCCCAAATAAAATCAATTACGGCGATCGTCAAGCCTCGCACGTACCGCTACAAATCACATGTACAACTCCACACGCTGAAGGAGCTGATCATTGCAGTCATCATGCCAATTCAACCATTGCTAACCGAACCCGACTTCTCCTAATTTACTCTAGAAATTCCTTAAAAATAATAACAGCTCCTTTATCAATATAACGAACTCAATCCGCACTCATCCCGAGTGACCCCATTTCACGAGACCACATTGTCCCCAAAACCCATGAACCATCTCATACTCTCCTTGTACGCATATTCGTGTATTTAACTGTACACCTATTCTGAAAACCCCTCTATGAACCCGAAGTTATTTTCTCCCATTCCTCAAATGCCATACCGCAAATCGACGATAACATAGAACATTCCAAGTCCCCTTTTCCATAATCCGCAGATAAAACTATGTACTTAACCATACCACGAGCTCGAAATACTTAGGCACCGCACCTTAAAATTTGAACCTACTAGGACCATTGTTGAGAGTCACCCACTCTGACTTGGTCCCGAATATAATCAAACTCCAGGTCTCCACTAGCACATGAACGCCCTCTTAAAGAAGCACTCGGCTGAATCATTTTCCTTATACACCACTTTCGCACGAAGCCTAGACTCTAAGTCTTCCCCAAACCTAAACACGAATCGATAAGGCCAAATATAGCACACATTCCTCAAATCCTTTGCTCAAATTACCGCTGATGCTCTCTTACCTTAGTCATGGCGACCCATCAATACACTGATAACCAGAAACCGCACTAGTTGACAATTACACAATCCAATCATAGACGGTGGAGCTCTCCCACTTAGCCTGAACCTACCATTGCATAACCCTGGAACCCACCAAGATTCCTTATCTCCTATTGACATGATCTTGCACAATCAACCTGCCAAATTTCCTAGAAATCCTTATGTTAAACATTTCATGAACATTCTGAATCACTAGCCATATTCACATATTCTACCTCTTACTGGATAACCAGTAAAATTCTTCGTAGAAGCTTCATCAACACCACGCAACCGCTAACCTGCTCACAGGAGATATCCCACCTGTGGAAATTCCATGCCGACATCCTCCAACAACACTGCACCGAGTACAATTACCATGAAGCCAACAAACCATCCTAAGCCTGTGCTCATTCACCAGTTGTACAAGCCCGTTCACTCCCCGCTGGCATCATTTAAATGTGTGACAATATATTCCAATCCAAAGACATGTTGTATCCTTTTTCATATTAAGCTACCCCCTCTTGTCACACCCAATCTTCCTCAATATAGCAGCCAAAATTTCAAATTAAGCTCGTAGACCTAGTCACTATCCACCATAAATCCCAATCACTCCAAACTTTCCCCAAGGCGTGTAGCTATCCTACCACAAAACCCATCTGATACTCTGCCACTCTCCCACTTTGGTCAAACCCTCTCCTTTAAGCAACTACTCGACTCTTGTTTCTCACACTTGGCCTTCTAGAAGTTTAACCATTGCGAGACACCTCCCATGTGTCCTTCCTCATCCTTCGATGCCCAGTTGTTGCCTTAAATCAATATCTATCTCTGTAGCACTTGAACCAATAGATCGCCACCAATTTTAAACCTCCCCTAAGATCATCTTCCTTGAGCCCTCAACACCCGAAACACCGATTCAATCCTGAACCACCGCACACTGCGATCTCTGACAGTCGCTTCCCCGGCAATATTTCACAATACCCTGCCCTGAAGACAAATTGATGAAGACCATAACACGACGAACTTAACACATTCAATCAAGGGAGATGACACCACATTATTGATGAAAATTCTACCACGCTCGAAAATACCAAATCTCGTTATTCCATCAACCCAAATCTAAACATTCCTAGTCCGATTGCCTTTCCTTCGCCGAAAATAAATACCGGATCTCTGAATCATGCACTGAGTAAACCTCATTCCAAGTCATCCACTACTTCAACGCATAGACAAGCATCCTTCCATTACACAAACACGGTGCGATAGCAATGCACGAATTGTCATAGCAATTGGCGCATAGCCCCAAAACTATCAGAAATACAGCTACTGAGCTGAGATGACAGAACATCCTTCCACAAGGTGACGACGTTAGCCCAATCGAATACGCAAGGAGAAACATCCTGCTCTACATCAGTAGTGCCATTAAAATTCCTCAATTCCAATTTATAATAAGCGTTTCGCGTCACGTAATATTGAATAGGAAGGAAATAAAGTCATAAGTCTCAAAGGAATCGAATTGCACGATGAGGAATCAAGAAGGGAAGTGTTCCTATCAATCTGGTAGCCTCTCGAAGATAAGTACATGCATCTCTGTACCGATCCGCAAGACTCTACTAGACTCGCTCATGGCTCATAGGACCTAAGTGAACCTAGTGCTCTGATACCATGTTGTCACGTCCCAAAATTCATTAAAGGTCGTGATGGCGCCGGACACCGATGTCATGCAAGTTAATAATAAATACTCAATTTGGTTCTCTTTTTTAATATTTTGAAATAACATTTTTCCTTCCATTAAATAATAAGAGATGGAATTTACAAGATAACTAATAATGTTTTCAACAAATTTCAATATGGGACAACCCATAATCACCCCAAAAACCGGTGTCACAAGTGCATGAGCATCAACTAGGAGGTAAAATGAAATACAACATTTGTCCGGAATACAAATTTGGACAGGAGAAATATAAATACTCTGAAGGAGACTCTGCTGGTTGCGGATCGTAGTAGAGAGTGCAGCTTACCTAAGTCCCCGCAATAACCGCGCCTCTGCACCCACAAGGCCTCTAGACATATATATGCCTTCACATAAAAAACATGTGCAGCAAGTGTAGCATGAGTACGTAAATCAACGCGTACCCAGTAAGTATCCTGCCTAACCTCGAAGAAGTAGTGACGAGGGGTCGACTCGGACACTTACTATGGGATATAATTAATATGCCAGTGATATAATTAAGCATGGATTATATAAAATGGTTGCAAGTTCAATATTTTGAAGTAAGTAAGCAGTTCTTTTATAATTAAGGAATCTCCAAATTTATTTCCCATTATTTAACAATTTATCCCAGGCAAAGGAGGCAATATCATATATGGTAAATTCCAAAGCAATCAATTCAATCATGCGCAAATCATGTCGAGGTCATACGGCCCGCTCCAACATAAATATTTAAATTGTGCACTGCCGTGGATCGAACGGTGCGAACCATAGATGCATCTATTTAATCTGCTGAGGCGTTCGGCCCGCTCCACAAAAGATAAACACATTCAAACAACCAAATCAAGAATTTATTAAGGGGCAATTATTTAAGGAAATTCCAATTCTCATTTAACGGCCAAGAAAACGAATTTTATCCTTTTAAAATTCCTTTACCAAGTTCAATGTGATTTAAGCAATCAAATTAACAAGAAGGTTGCACACATCGCAAGTATAGCATAATTTGAGTCTTAGACTATCGGGACTTAAGCATGATAGTAGCTACGCACGGACTCTCGTCACCTCGTGCGTATGTAGCCCCAACAAATAGAAGAACATATTGAATTATTTCACCTATGGGGTTAATTCCCTCTTACAAGGTTAGAAAGGAGACTAACCTCGCTCCGCAATTCCATAACAGGCTCCAAAGTCGCTCCAACAACTCAAACCGATGCTCGTCGCTCCAAACCTAGTCAAATAAGATGCAACCCAATCAAAATATGCTCTAATACTCATATTTAATCAATTTACAACAATTTTCAACTCCGGTCGAAAAGTCAATAAAAGTACCCTCGGGCCTACGTGCCCAGATTCCAAAAAAATTCGAAGATAACCATTACCCATAGCCTCATGAACTCAAATATATAATTTATTCTCAATTTAATGCCCAAATTCGTGAACAAAAATATAAGAATACCAATTTCTAGGTTTTTCTTCAAAATCCCAAATTTCTACAAATTTTCATGTCTAAATCCTTATAAAATCCAAGTATTTAACTTGCAATAGGTGGGAATCACTTACCTTGACATAGATGACAAAAATATCCCTCCCAAGAGCTCCAAAATCGCCCAACCAAATGAAAAATGGAGGAAAAATGGCCAAATCCTGTCTTTAAAACAATCTGCCCAGGCCAGGCCCTTCTTCGCATTCGCAATCAAAGCCTCGCGTTCGCGAAGACTATAGACACCACTACTTTTCGTTCGCGGCTGGAGCTCTGCGTTCGCGAAGGCCAAACTACTCCAGGCCCCCACTCCGCTTTTCTTCTTCGCGTTCGCGATCCCTGTGTCGCGTTCGCGTAAGCTTCCTTAGGCAACCCTCCGCGTTCGCGACCTCCGCCTTGCATTCGCGAAGGCCAAAGCCCAGCTACCTCAAATTCCTCTTCGCGAATGCGGGACACCCTTCGCGTTCGCGATGAAGGAAACCAGATAGCAGCAACAGCAATCCAAAACAGCCTGAAATGATCCGAAACCATCTCGAAACACACTCGAGGCCCCCGGGGCCCCATCCAATCACACAACCCAGTCCCACAACATAACACGGACCTGCTTGAGGCCTCAAATCACATCAAACAATGTCAAAATCATGAATCGCACACCAATCCAAGCTTAATGAACATTAGAACCTCAAACTTCTACATTCGATGCCTAAACCCCTCAAATCATGTCCGATTGATCTCAAATTCTGCATACAAGTCATATTCCACATTACGGACCTACTCCAACTTCCAGAATCAAAATCTGACTCCGATATCAAAAAGTCCACTCCCAGTCAAACTTCTCAAAAGCCTTCAAATTTCTAACTTTCGCCAAATTACCCCAAAATGTCCTACGGACCTCCAAATCCACATCCGGACATGCTCCCAATACCAGAATCACTATACGGAGCTATTCCCAGACTCAGAATCCCAAACGGACGTCGATATCATTGAAATGCACTTCAACTCAAATTTATAAAATTCTTCCAAAATGCCAACCTTTCACAATAGGCGCCGAAACGCTCCCGGGTCATCCAAAACCCGATCGGGACATACGCCTAAGTCCAAAATCATCATACGAAACCTGTTAGAACTTTCAAATCCCAATTCCGAGGTCGTCTACTCAAAAATCATACTTTAGTTGATTTCTCCAACTTAAAGCTTCCGAATTTAGAATTTTCTTTCCAAATCAACTCTGAACTTCCCAAAATTAAATTCTGACCAAGCGTACAAGTCTTAATACCTGAAGTAAAGCTACTCGTGGCCCCAAACTGCTGAGTGACGTGCTAGGACTCAAAATGACCGATCGGGTCGTTACAAATGATCTTTAGTTATGTTGTGTTTTCAGGCCTATATGGGATAGGGTGATATGAGATCACCCCCGAGTATGTGCATGGTAAGATTACACGATGGTTTTATGGCTTTGGAATGACTCTCAGCGCGTTCGAGGACGAACGTATGTTTAAGTGGGGGAGGATGTAACGACCCGACCAGTCGTTTTGAGCATTTGCACTTCGCTCGATAGTTTAAGGGCATGAGTAGCTCCATATAATATATTATAACTGGTGTGTATCATCGGTTTTGGTTTTCAGGTGATCCGGAGTTTGATTTGGAAGAATGAATTTCATCGTTGAAGCTTTAAGTTGGAAGAGTTGACCAAGTTTAAGTTTTGTGAATTTGACCCCAGAACAAATTTTTGAGGGCTCCGTTAGGCCCGGATGGTGATTCTGGACTTGGGCGTATGCACGGATTTGCATTTGGATATTTCTAGAAGGATTCGGCGCTAATTGGCGAAAGTTGGAAATTTGAAAGTTTGGAAATTTCATAAGTTTGAACGGGAGTTGAATTTGATGAAATTAGGTTTGGATTGTGGTTCCGGGAATTGGAATAGCTTCGTTATGCCATTTGGGACTTGTGTGAAAAATTTGAGTTCATTCCGAGTTGATTTGATATGTTTCAGTGCGAGTTTTGAAAGTTGAAAGTTCAAAATTCATTTAAGTTTGATTTGAGGTGTGATTCATCGTTTCGATGTTGTTATGTGTGATTTGAGGCCTTGAGTAGGTCCATGTTATGTTATGGGTTTTGTTGGTATTTTGGACGGGGTCTCGAGTGGCCCGAGGACGAGGTTCAGACCATTTTCGTTTCATGTTGCATTGCTAAAGGTATGCTGATTTTGGTGCTTACGCATCTGCGGAAGAATGGACGCAGATGCGAGTCCGCAGTTGCGGACAATTGGTCGTAGAAGCGCAAATAGTCTTGGACCGCAAGTGCGAGGTGAGATGGGTCAAGCTATTTTCGCAGAAGCGAAGCATTTTACCGCAGAAGCGGGGGTCGCAGATGCGACAGTGTGACTGCATATGCGGAATTTTTGGGCAGAAGCTATAAAATCGAGGTTTTTGGTTCTTTTATCATATTTTGAGATTTGGGGCTCGGATTGAAGCGATTATTTAGGCGATTTTCATCACAAGGATTGGGGTAAGTGTTTTATACTCGGGTTTGATTATATTTCGTGATTCTATCTTTGTTTTTGGCATTTGGATTATGAATTGTAAAGAGAAAATTGGGGGTTTTAGCCTAAAGTTTCATAGAATGAGTTTTTGAGTTTTGAACATCGATTTGGAGTTGGATTTGAATGAAACTAGTATGACTGGACTCGTAATTTAATGGGTTGTCGGATTTTATAAGTTTTGTTGAGTTCTGAGGCGCGTGCCTGGGTTGGACTTTTGGGTTGATTTTGGTCTTTTGATTAATGATTCGATCTTTATCGATTGGGTTTGTTTCCTTTGGTGTTAATTGATGTATTTGAGTTGCTTTTGGCTAGTTTCAAGTCATTCGGAGGTCGGTACGCGCGTGATGGCATTTTTGGAGTATCGCTTGGCTTGCTCGGTATTGGATTTGGCTTGTTCGAGGTAAGTAACACTTCTAAACTTGGTGCTGAGGGCATGAAACCCCGAATTAAGCATTATGTGATTGATTTTGAGGTGACGTGCATGCTAGGTGATGGGCGTGTGAACGTGCACCGTATAAATTGTGATTTAGTCGATTCCATGGAACTGTGTAGCTATTTTATCTGAAAATATTTATTGTACCATATTGTTAAAGCACTTGAGCCATAATTCATGCTAGAAATAATATTTAGGCTATATGCTAGTACTATTGGGACCCACAATGGTCGTTCTTT